GCGTTCCGGTCTCGGTCAGTTGGAACGCATAATGCGTTCCACTGACGTCATCTCTCGGCATCTCTATTGTTTTTAAAAACGAACTGTACAATTTTCAACAAGTTTATGTATTTATCATAAATATATTTGTATATTGTTACTGGCACCATATTATGCATATATATATGTGTTTTATTGAATTCTATATGTGCATTTGAAATTACTGCTTTGCATGCTGTAAAAATATTATACTAAGATAATTATTTGCAAATATCTTTAGCTTTTGAAAGTGTCTATGCAATATACAAAACATATTGTCTGATAATATTTTACAAAGAGAGCATGATATCGATATATGAAAATATTCTTCCATTGTATAAGTGGTCTAAACTTTAAAGTGGTAATGTGCCTTAAAGTGCTCTTCTATATTTTTAAAGTGCTCTTGTGATATTTCAAAATTAATGTTCAAATGAATACCATTTCAAAAACTATAAAAATCAAAAACTATAAAAATCAAAATACAATATCAAAATAATGTTCATCCTTAAAATATGATGGTTAAAACTATTATAATATATTGGAAATCCTCTATTGTAGACGGGGATATTATAAAATGTATAAAAATGGTTTATGAAAAATTATAAAAAATATATGTGTATGAAAATTAATAATATAGGGGAGCTTAGTTCATGAAATGGCATAGTTCAAAATTTTGGTTTAGACCATGTGGTGCCATAGTATTAAAATTAAAAATAAATTTCATTTCTTCTATTCCTATTTTTTTAATATAGTCTCCTCCTCTCCAGTCTTTCTTAACTAATTTTACTGCACAGAAGAATAGTCCTTCTGGATCTTGGTTATGGAATATTTTAAAATGGTTGGAGACACTATGTGACTCCAATCCATTTTTAATATTCCTCGTATGCTCTGCTATTCTCGTGTTTAGACATCTAATAGTTCTTCCTACATAAAGGAGATTACACTGGCACTTCAGGACATAAATAACTCCTTTAGAATAGCAAGTTAAGTGGTCTCGAATTTGGAACTGTTGGTTTATCCATGGTTTCATGTCCGTTATGTGACGTTTCCTACTTTTAGTATTTCTGCATGCCAGACACTGGCCACAACCATAAAAACCTTTACTTTGTTTTAAAAAAATGTTTTCAACCAAAGTTTGTTTGTTACTACTTTGTACTAAAGTGCTTCTTAGATTTCTTGCTCCCCTATAAATAATCTTAGGTTTATCTGGCAAGATACTTTTTAAAACCGCGTCATCTTGCAAGATATGCCAATATCTATTTATGATCTTTTTAACTTTTTTATGATTTCCACTAAAATTACAGACAAACGGAACATAGTTATTCCATTTTTGTTTCCCCTTTTTGTCTTTATATATCAAAAGATTTTTTCTGGGAATTGAACGGACCTCTTCTAGAGTTGTCTGTAAATCTATTTCTGTATAACCTTTTTGTAGAAATTGGGTCTTTATTCTCTCTGCCTGTAGTAAATAGTCCTCATCATTCGTGCAGTTGCGCCTAATTCTTAGAAATTGTCCTCTAGGTGCATTTTGTAACCAGGGTGTATAGTGGCAGCTCTCTTTTTGAATGTATCCATTTGCGTCCACTTCTTTGAAATGATTCTTCGTAGTGATGCAAGTATTCTTAATATTAATATCAAGATCTAGGAAGTTGATATTTTCTTCACTTATCTGTGCTGTTAAAACGATGTTCCATTCATTGTTATTTAAAAAAGTGATAAAAATATCTAATTCTGTTCTAGTTCCCGTCCAAATAAAAAATATGTCATCGATGAAACGATGATAGCACACCAAGTCCGCTCCCCAGGCATGCCCTCCATACACAAAATGTTCTTCCCAATATGCCATAAACAAATTCGCATAGCTGGGAGCGAACTTGGTGCCCATCGCCGTTCCCCGAATTTGTAAATAAAAGATATCTTGGAACCAAAAAAAATTATTGGTTAAAATCAAGTGGATCCCTTCTAAAATATATTGAGTTTGTTCTTCTTTAAAACTATGTTTTCTTAAAGAATATTGCACAGCTTCCAATCCAATTTTATGAGGTATGATGCTATAGAGGGAGGTTACGTCACACGTGACTAAAAAATTACCCTCTTTCCAAGTGGTCTCCTCTAAAAGTTTTAAAATATGTATAGTGTCTTTTAGGTAAGCAGGATTGCACACTACTAAAGGTTGTAACAATTTGTCCAAGTATTCAGATACCTTCGCTGAAACGGAGTCGATTCCAGATATTATTGGTCTACCGGGTGGATTTTTTCTATCTTTGTGCACCTTCGGTAGATGGTAGTAAACTGGAGTTTTCGGGTGTGGGGTGGACAAATACTTTGCTTCATCTATAGTTAGAATTTCCTTTTCTAGACCTTTCTTGATATATTCATCAAATTTCTTTTTTATTTCCTCAATTGGATTCCTATCCAATTTTTGGTATGTAAGAGGGTCGGATAAAATTCGTTCAGCTTCTTGTACGTAACTAGACCTTGAAGATATAACGACCCCTCCCCCTTTATCTGCCGGTTTGATAACCATTTCCTTATTTTGTTTTAATCCCTTAACCACATTTTTTTCCTTACTTGACATATTGTGTTGGTATTTATTCAATGGTTTAATTTGTCTTATTTCTTTCATTACCATTATCTCAAACGCTTTAATTTCGTCAGAGATAAGGTGTTTGGGAAAAAAATTAGATTTTGTTTTTAGATCGGTATGTTTATACTTTTCTATAACCTCTTCCTTCTGAGTTTCTTTCTGATTGGCAAAAAACTTTTTTAGACATAACTGTCTAATGAATTTATTAATATCTATAAACAGATCAAATTTGTTTAAATCTACAGTCGGGGCAAATTTTAGCCCTTTCTGTAAGACTTCCATTGTTTCTTTCGATAATTCTTGATCTGTTAAATTGAAAATACCTTCCTCATTCATCTCTTGCCTCTCTTTTCCCTGTATCTCGTTCCTTCTTCTTCTTCGTGTTCTCCTTCTTGTGTTACCGATCTCCTGCGTTTGCCTGGGGATTCCCATATGCTGGTCTGTTGTGTTTGCTTCAATCTTTCCTTGACTGGATCCCTCCGAAAAAAAGGAGATGTAGGATTCTGGTTGGAAGTATGTGGCAAATCTTGCCCCTTTTCGAATCTCTTCCTCTGTATTTTTGGTGAATATTTCCTCGATTCTCTAGACTCTTTGCTCGTTTCACCTTCATCCTTATGATGTCTTCCTCTTTCTCTATCGAGTTCCTGTGGGTTCTGTGTAAAATTCCTTCTTTCTCTTCTTTGGGTTGGATTTGATTTAACGGCTTCGCTATAACTTTTATATCTTGGAGACTTTGTTATAGGGGAGAAGTCTTTTTTCTGCCTTCTCCACTGTAAATTTCCTTGTCTTTCTCTTGGAGTGTTTATTTTATCTTGTTCTCTCCTAGCTCTTTGGTTATAATTCCTCATTTGTTTATATATGGGGGTTGTCTGGGAGTCTGGGAGTGACCACCAACAGAGTCTTGCATGGAAAAAGGATTTTGGATATCCTGGAATAGTCCAAAGGCACACACCATCCGAGTCATATGAGATTATGACTCCAGGCTTGTGAGTGGAAAATCTACTGCATACATATTTTATTTAACTTTTACTACTATATTGCACTATGGTCTATATTTTATTTTACAGAATATCTGTTATACTACTATTTTAAGAAGCTCCACCTGATTTATGAATGTATACTGTTGATCTTTTAACCAACATTCAAGTAGGGGAGCATTTGGGAAATAGTGATCACAATATGGTAACTTTTGAAATAAACTCAAAAAAGCAAAAGCAAGTGGGGTATACTAAAACATATAATTTAAAAAAAGCCAATTTCAATAAGATTAGGGCAGCTCTACAGCATATCGACTGGCATAAACTCCTTAGTGATAAAAACACTGAGGATACATGGAAACTATTCAAACAAATATTAGAAAGTTACATTTCTCAGTATGTACCATTGGGTAATAAATATAAAAGGAACAAATTAAAACCAATGTTTCTTAGTAGAGATGTAAAACAAGAGATTAAAAATGAGAAAAGGGCATTTAAAGCATTTAAATCAGACAAATCAGAGGCATCCTATTTAAGATATAAGGAAGCCAACAATGCTTGCAAAAAGGCAATTGAAGTGGCTAAACTAGAAAATGAGACATTGATAGCTAAAGAATGCAAAACCAACCCCCCAAATTTTTTCAAGTATATCAATTCTAAAAAAACAAAAAATGAAAGTGTAGGTACACTGGAAACAGAGTTGGGTTTATTAGCTTATGAAGACCAGGAAAAAGCAGAAATTTTAAATAACTATTTTTCTTCAGTATATATTAATGAGGATCCTATAGCAAGAGATATGCAAATGATTGCTGCAAAAAACTTGCAAATAACTTGTGATTGGATAACTCGAGACAAGGTGCTACAGCTACTAAGAGAAAATTAATGTAAATAAAGCTCCAGGGCCTGGCGGTATTCACCCACGAGTACTTAAGGAGCTAAGTGGGGAAATAAGTGAACCTCTGTATTTAATTTTTCAAGATTATTTTGTTTCAGGTGTTGTACCAAAGGATTGGAGAAAGGCAGATGTTGTTCCTATATTTAAAAAGGGTTTAAAATCCTTGCCTGGAAATTATAGACCTGTGAGCTTAACTTCTGTAACTGGGAAAATATTTGAACAGCTATTAAGGGATAATATTCAGGAATTCATTGGAAAGGACTTTGTTATTAGCAATAATCAGCATGGTTTTATGAAATATAGGTCATGTCAAACTAACCTAATTGCATACTACAAAGAAGTAGGTAGAAGTATAAATCAGGGTGTTGAAGTGGATGTGATCTATTTGGATTTTGCCAAGGCATTTGATACGGTTCATCACAATAGGTTAGTCTTCAAACTAAAAGAAATTGGTCTAGATGAATATTCTTGTTCTTGGGTAGAACATTGGCTTAAGGATAGAGTACAACAAGTTGTAATTAATGGTAAATTTTCAGGCTGGACAAAAGTGGTAAGTGGTGTCCCTCAGGGTTCTGTTTTGGGACCACTTCTATTTAACATATTTATAAATGATCTTGAAATAGGCATTGAAAGCCATGTATCAGTGTTTGCAGATGACACAAAACTTTGTAAAGTAATAAAATGTGAGCAGAATATTGCTTTGCTGCAGAGGGATTTGGATAGATTGGGGGACTGGGCACTAAAATGTCAGATGAAATTTAGCTTAGAGAAATGCAAAGTTATGCACTTTGGGTTTAAGAATGCACAAGCAACTTACACACTAAATGGTAGTGAATTAGGGATAATCACACACGAGAAGGATTTGGGAATTGTTATAGATAACAAATTAGGCAGCAATATGCAATGTCAATCTGCAGTTGCTAAGGCCAATAAGGTATTGTCATGTATAAATAGGGGCATAAATTCTCGGGATGAAAATATAATTTTGCCTCTTTATAAATCGCTGGTAAGACCACACCTTGAATATGCTGTGCAATTTTGGGCGCCTGTTCTAAAGAAAGATATCATGGCACTAGAAAAAGTCGAGAGACGAGCTACAAAATTGATAAAAGGAATGGAGCATTTTAGTTATGAAGAAAGGTTAAAAAAATTAAATTTGTTTATTTTGGAAAAATGGCACCTGAGAGGGGATATGATAACATTGTACAAACCTTTATCTGGAAATCTATTCATAAACAGGGCTATACATAGGACACGAGGTCACCAATTTAGGCTGGAAGAAAGGGGATTTCATCTAAGGCAAAGAAAAGTTTTTTTTACAGTAAGAGCAATAAGGATATGGAATTCTCAGAATTTTGTCAGAGTCACTACAGAGATTTAAACTGCAATTGGATAAATACTTACAAAAACATAACATACAGGGATATAATTTCTAATTAGTGGGGTAATAGCTGACTGCTATTTTGGGGTCAGGAAGGAATTTTTCCTAGTTTGTGGCAGAATTGGAAGCGCTTCAGACTAGGTTTTTTGCCTTCTTTTGGATCAACAGCAACAACATATGTGAGGAAGGCTGAACTTCATGGACACAAGTCTCTTTTCAGCTATGTAACTATGTAACCTCCAGCAATGTATCTAAGGAATGTAAACTTCTACAGGCCTTTAAAGACTTTGGACTACAAATAGAAACATAGAAACATAGAATGTGACGGCAGATAAAACCATTCGGCCCATCTAGTCTGCCCAATTTTCTAAATACTTTCATTAGTCCCTGGCCTTATCTTATAGTTAGGGTAGTCTTATGCCTATCCCACGCATGCTTAAACTCCTTTACTGTGTTAACCTCTACCACTTCAGCTGGAAGGCTATTCCATGCATCCACTACCCTCTCAGTAAAGTAATACTTCCTGATATTATTTTGAAAACTTTGTCCCTCTAATTTAAGACTATGTCCTCTTGTTGTGGTAGTTTTTCTTCTTTTAAATATAGTCTCCTCCTTTACTGTGTTGATTCCCTTTATGTATTTAAATGTTTCTATCATATCCCCCCTCGTCTCGTCTTTCCTCCACGCTACACATGTTAAGATCCTTTAACCTTTCCTGTTAAGTTTTATCCCGCAGACCTCACTTGGTGTATTGTACACAGTACTAGAGACCGTATCTTCAGAAGGATATTGATACCTTAGAGAGGGTTTAGTAGCCCTTCTCTGAACCCTCTCTAAGGTATCAATATCCTTCTGAAGATACGGTCTCTAGTACTGTGTACAATACTCCAAGTGAGGTCTCACCAGTGTTCTGTACAATGGCATGAGCACTTCCCTCTTTCTACTGCTAATACCTCTTCCTATACAAGCATGCATTCTGCTAGCATTTCCTGCTGCTCTATTACATTGTCTGCCTACCTTTAAGTCATCAGAAATAATCACCCCTAAATCCCTTTCCTCAGATGTTGAGGTTAGGAATTTATCAAATATTCTGTACTCTGCCCTTGGGTTTTTATGTCCAAGATGCATTATCTTGCACTTATCCACATTAAATGTCAGTTGCCACAATTCTGACCATTTTTCTAGTTTACCTAAATCATTTGCCATTGGGCTTATCCCTCCTGGAACATCAACCCTGTTACATATCTTTGTATCATCAGCAAAAATACATACCTTACCATCAAGACCTTATGCAATATCACTAATAAAAATATTAAAGAGAATGGGTCCAAGTACAGATCCCTGAAGTACCCCACTGGTGACAAGTCCAAGCTTGTATTACTTTAAACTTTAAAATTATTACTTTAAACTTTGGATTACAATTCCTATCAGGATCCATCCATGACCTGATGTTCTTTTCAATTCTTTCCCAGACAAAAGCTTTGCTCATTTTAATCAACCACCTTTACAAGCAAAGATCACTCTATGGCTGTTTTACCATTACAACAATGATCAAAGACAATGGAAGCATAAAAACCTAATGACTGCTGAAGAACTTTGGTTTATTAATTTAAGGAAGAACTGATCTACAATACCCACTGTTTAATGGAGAGGGTGTTATGGGCAAATGCAAATTGTATTTCTCAAACTGTGTACTTTGTCTTTAAGAGAAATTGCAAACTGACAAGGTGAAATGGAACATACTTGTTTTTCATACATGTTTCTTTAAGCAATAACCTTTTACCTACTTTCAGTGCATAATATGTCTACGCCATTTTGTCCAAGACAAAATACAATAACAATTATGCATAAACAAGCTTCAAGGCCATGCTACGACTCTTTCAGTACATAATATACTGCGATAGCCCTAAATAGATAAAGATGTTCAGACTTTAAGATGCCATCTTGTCCTAAGTCAGGGAATTTTCCATGACGTGAGCACACTTTTACGTTTTAGTTATGGCCTTGTATTTTTGCCAAGTTAAGGGAGGTCCTAAAATGAATAAAGTAAAAGAAGTATTACTTTTTCATATATGAACTACGGTAACCATAAAATGAAGGTATAAATAGGTGTACTTTTAAATGTTAAGGGACAGAGGAGAGATTTGGAGACAGAGACACTGTCGCTCCATATAATGACAGAGATCTTGACATGTTCAAGAGGGTATGTTATTCTATTTAAATTGATATTTGGAAGCATCTAGTTTAATCTTATAAACTCTGCTATGAATTATTGTAATGGATTTTATGTCTATTTATATTTTTATATAATAAAATATCTAAAAGGCAAAACTTTATTGCTCTCAAGACAATCCTTATTTTATATTGTATTCTCAATTATTGATATATTTTAAATAGAGGATCTCTTACTAACTATATAAAATTATGGCTAAGCTCTCTGTATAGTTAGCCCTGCTAAGTTCTATGCTTTAAGACGCTATAGGGGTATAGGGGTAACTAAGGAAGCCAGCTGCGGTTACAATTTTTTTTTTCTGGATATTTCTTTTTGGAGCATATACCTGTACTTACTTTTGGGAAAAACAGGATACCATGAACAGTTGTGCTATTATGATTTTCCTGTCTTATCTTACTGTGAACAAATTTTGGTAGTCAAAGACTTTAGTTTAATTTTGCTCTCTGAGATATACAATATCTTTGCAGTTAGGGAAGGCGACAGGCAGTTTATTGTCTATTTGCTGATGCACTTTATGTACATTGTTTTCACACAACTAGTAGCACTTTAGGCATGTGGCACTGTATAATTATTTATGCACTTGCACTGGGTGTACAGGATATTGAGCTATTTCATTTATATATTGACTTGTTACATATACCCTTATGTGTCATGTATACCTTCAGACATGACCAATAGTGGCAATATTATATGAGTAAATCAGATTTTATTCGTATTACTTTTTGTGGCGTGCGATATCATTTGGTATTTTTTTAATATTTCTTTGTGGGGTCCGTGGATTATACATGCATCACTGTTCTGATTAAGTGCAAGCACATTCTGTATTTTTTATTTCAATAATTACTCTGGAGCAAAAGCAAAAGCGGTGGCTATGCTTTCTCCGCCCAAGTTCCTTTCACATATAAGGCTCATACAACGGACGACATAGGCAAATGCAAAATAGGACACACACTGGTTACCTTTTCAAACTTATATCTCCCTAACCGAAAACAGATCAGGGCACTCAGGAAAGCCTTGTGATCCACAGATTAATTGCAGGAAAGCATCCTGATTATGGGAGAAGACCTAAATATTTCCCTTGACTCTGACATGGACACCACGTCACCTACAACCTCATATCCTTACCTTTTGTGTCACTTTACCCAACTCCCTCTATCATGTAAGCTCATTGAGCAGGGCCTTCAACCCCTCTGTTCCTGTGTTTCCAACTTGTCTGGTTACAACTACAGGTTTGTTCGTCCACCCACTGTAAAGCGCTGTGGAATTTGTTGGCGCTATATAAATAACATAATAATATCAATTGTCAGCTAGACAGCAGGCAACTCCCTTTTAGATGCAGCACAACTGTTTGATAGCTGAAGAAACCTGCATCCACAAATGAGGGTTACTCATTTTACTCACACAATATGTCATACTCCAGAATTGACATGCTATTTCTCCCACACCAATTTTTACATCTAATTCACAATTGCAAATACGGTCCTATAAAATGGTCAAATCACACTTCCCTATCTTGCCATTCAAATAGCCTCTCTCCCCCTCACACCATTCCAATGGAAACTCAACAACCTGCTACTCAATGACCAGACCTTGGTTACCCAGGTGACCAACACGATTGACCAGTATTTCATAGACAACATCCTCCACACACTATAACCCACACTAACTTGGGAGGCCCACAAACTGGTGATTTGCAGTTACCTTACAGCCATAGCATCGACACATAAGAAAAGCAAGGAAATACAATGGACTACGTTATTACAGGAAATGAGGTCCCTCAACTTCCATGTCCACTCTCATAGAAGAAATCACTCTTTACAGTAGAATATCCATCCTCCGGTTAATTTCACTAAAAGCAAAATCCTACAGCTACACATTGACCAGCATGTAAAAAACAATTTATAGCAGACATACTTTCATCTGGGCAGATAATGCAGTCAAGTACCTGGGGGTCCATCTCCCCCATGACCTTTCCAAGCTATATGAATTTAATTTTTCAAACAATTTGAGTTGACCTTACAAAATGGAACACACGTTTTTTCGGATGGCTCAAAATTAATATGTTACCTTACATACTGTACTTACTATATATGTGTGTATAATAACTCACCTTCTTAGTCTTTCTTTTGGTCCAACAAACACTGGATATAACTGTTGACATCTACTTTCTTAAAGAAAGTGCTTGTCTTGATATTATTGTCTACAATTTATATATTTAAGTCCAGAATTTCCAATAAACTCTTACTATAGTTTTTTGTAAGTTTAATACCCCATTTATTGTCTTCTAGATGTTCAAAAAAACGGTCAAGAGTTTCACTATTACCTTTACAAATGAAAAAAATATCATCATAGTAACGGCGATAGGTCACCAGGCTTGCACCCCATCTCTGATCCTCAAAGATGAATTTATGTTCCCAAAAGGACATAAATAGATTAGCATAACTGGGTGATGTCAACAGTTATATCCAACAAACGAGTTGTCATTATTCACCCTGGCTCTTAAATGCACCAAAAGCACAATTATTGAGGATAAAGCACAATTGTACAGACACAATTGTGTTCCAAGAGCAGGGATACCTTTTATATGTGATTTTAATGCTCAGCACAAACAAGTGAAGAAAATAATCTCCAAATATTGGCCCATTTTAAAAAATGACGAAACATTGAATATGCTTCTACCAGACAAACCTAGAATAATATATCAGGTGTACCTAATATCCAAAAAAGTCTCACAAATAATTATATAAATACAAAGAGAGACGCCACTAACCCATTCAATGAACTCATGGGCTTTTATGGCTGTGGGATATGTGGGGTGTGTAGGAATACGAATAGCAAAAAAAGAATGAATAGAGATTTTGGGCATCCAAGATATCCGAAAAAAAGTTTTAAAATTAAAGATATCATTACGTGTCACTCCAAGAAAATAATATATATGATTACTTGTCCATGTGGATTGCTCTATATTGGACGTACTATCTGCCCTTTACAAATAAGAATACGGGAACATATTAGGAATGTGAGGAATGGTTTCTTAAAACACAATGTATCTCTCCATTTTAAAAATTTCCATACTAGTGATCCCAGTAAATTACAATTTTTGGGAATCCACAAAGTGACAATTAACTAGAGGGGAGATGATCTAATTAAAAAGATGGGACAAGCAGAGATGCGTTGGATATTCCATTGGGACACATTGCACCCTAAAGGTTTGAACAATGATTTTGAACGTTGTCATTTTTTATAATATATTTTTTTTTATAGATTTTTAAAAATATATTTTTTAATTTAACTATTTTTAGTATATTGTTTTTTATACTTATATGGAATTTCTATATTGTCCTTTTTGGATAGTTGGGTATGTTCTATCCAGGGCCAGATTAAGAGCCCAGTGGGCCTGGTGCTGACAATTATGAATGGGCCTAATTACAGAATCTTATCGACCAAAAACACTAAAACAGTCATGCCTCTCAAGCGTCATGTATCTGATAGAGTTGATGTTGGAGGGAAACTAAAAGAATGCAGCTATAAGAAAACACATACTCTATGCTAATCTCTTTATCTAATTTATACTTTCATCTTTCAAGTAAATCCAGCAGTGTTCAGTGAAGCAAGACGTCAATGGGCAGGGTAAAAGGGTGGGCCACTGACACGAATCAGGTGATCAGAACTGCCAAA